GTAAGTAATATTAAGGACATTATTGTCTGAAGAAATAATGTTTTTCTGATGAATAATTAATTTTTACAAGAATTTTATCGTTTTTTTTCAAGAAATTTTAATTATAATAATTTATAATAGTTTTAAATCGTGTAAAGCTCTGTATTAGGAGGGTTCCTCGAGGTGATGTCGTAATTAAGTAGAAAAAAAAATTTATGAGTTCAAAATTACTAAGTTTAATAAATTTAGTTGCGCTACTTTTTTTAAAAATAATTTTTTACGTTGTATTTTTTACTTAATACATTCCTTATTTCCATGTATGATATACAGAAATTGCCATTATTATAACAAGGTCACGTGATCTAAGGGTTTTGTCCCTTTACGTGGCCTTTTCATAACATTTCGTTTCTTACAGGTTGTATTTTCCGTTCAGCTTTAAAAGTGTAAACTTTAAATTTTAAATTATTTTTTCTTTTTTTCATTTACTATTTCACTAAATAATTTTATTTTATGTATTGTATTTCCATTAGTGTGTGTCATACTCAAATAGAATAATTTTTTTAAAAACTCAGACTTAAAAATTATGTCATTTATGGTCATCAGTAGTAGCTGTCATCAGCTCGTCGTTCAACACTCATCAATAGATCGAACAGATAAACAGGACCACTCGTTAATAATTGGTTGTATATTATTTTTTTATGCTATAAGTAACAAAGATTTCTTTGAAATCAGATTACTTTAACTTTAACCTTTTTAATTTTACTAAAATAATGTGTCAGAATTTTTTTAAAAATATTTTAAAAATCGATAAATTTGTGTTTGTTTACAAATTTCTTAAAATTAAGAAAATGGCCGTTTTTAAGAAAATTTAAAAATTTGAAATTAAATTTGACAATCAAATGTATATAGTTTCTATCTGAAATACACCAGAATTGTTTAATTAATAGAAATTGTAAATTTAATTATTAAACTTTCAATTAAAGCTAAAGTGAAATCTTCAAGAATGTTTTTTCGTTCATTTTAAATTTCAATATAGAAAATTTATGCTGAAATAGTGGAGGTACTTAGTTTTATTTATTGCATTTTTATTTTACAATTCAGAGCAGATTTTCAATGAAACTGGTAACTGTTGAACAAAAAAAAAATTGATTTACTTTCTCCGAAGAGTCCTGTTTTTAATGGTAAATTTTCATTTTAACACCCGAGCGACATTTACTGCTGAACTATTTTCTTTCAGAAATTAGTACGCGTTTCCATAATGCGATTTTTAAACATCGACAAATAAAAGAATAACAAAAGAAAAAAAACCACCTAACCCTAATTTGAAAGTTAGCTACAAGGAATTACTGTGAAGGGAGTAAATAGGCCCAAATTGTATACGGCCACCGACAGAATTCAGCACTTAATTACTCATCAATAAGCCGCTAATGGCCGACGAAAGACCAGGAAAAAGTCCGTTTTTTTTTTTTTTTTTTTTTTTTTTTTTCAGGTCGTTAACATCCAGAAAGGTAGGTTTCTTTAATATCTAATTGTTGATTTGAGTTCAGCATATACATTTGCACGGAAACTATTTGGGGAAAAATTTGAAGGGATATTAGCATTCAGGTGTTAAAATGAAAATTTACCTTTTTAACTAATACACCCCACATTGAAAACTTAATTTCTCGAATTTCATGAAATTATGTGAGTAGAGAAATGGATTTTTAAAACAAATGCTAATAAAGTTGTTCACAGATTTATTGTTGTTCTCTGGAGACTTTATCAGTTAAAACATAATTTAAGAAAATGACCAGTGACTGCTTATACATATGTATGTGTGTATATGTAGTTAATTTTTATGTATACAGTAATCTTAAAAATGTTAGAAAATATTGTAAACTTACAAACTGTAACAAAAAAATATTTACTGTACTTCCAGATTTTAATGATAATAACCAACATGTTTCATTGAGTGCAGAATACTATTCCTACCAAAACCTTTTTGTACTTCAAAATAAGCTTTAAAAAATCCTTGGAACTATAAACAAATTTGTCCTAGCTCGTGCTATAATTTTCAAGTTTTACGGTTTACACAGACTGGGGATACATTTTCAAAAACCTAATTAAAATGTTGATAAAAACAAATTTTGGTTCAAATTTGACATTAACAAAGAATTTGTTTTTTGAGCTAAGCTTCCCCTCCCCTCAGTTCATTTTGTTTGTTTGTTTTTTTTTTGTTTTTTTTTAGACAATATTTTTATTTACAGTCGGACTTCAAATTTTTCATGAAATTTGAAACTGAACATATTTATGGTGGTGGGGTAATCTGTTCTCATTCTCTAAGTGTTTATGTCTAGGTACGTCTTCTCTTATGAAGGAAAAAGTGATTGGATTCCTTAAATTTTTTTGCAGCTCCTTTCATTATGCAGAAGGAAAATTTGTTATATATGAGAAATCTTGTCTATTGTTTCTATGTTGAACTGAAAATAGTACAACTGAGCAAAAATAGCTCATGGATTGCAGCAATTGAAAAAGCACTCTAAAGACTAAGGTGGGGAAAAAAAGAAAAAGACTGTAAAATTGTGACTAACTTCCACTTTTAATTAATTTGACACTGTAGTTTTTATTTATTGAGTTTTTAGTCTTTACTTGTATTTCTAGAAATGATTACACTTAAACAGACAATCATGTCACCCTGCACTGAAGTTTTTTTTCTTTTTTTTTTTTTTGCATGGACTACAATATACTGTCTGTCTTGTTCAACATTACTTTTTTCACATTTAATTAGGTACCTCCACTGATTCACGAAGGTAAGCTAAATACTTTGTTGGTGTATTTCAAACCAAATGAATATTGATTGGAATGGTGTTTTTTTTTTTTTTTTTTTTTTTTTTTCCCAGTAACATCAAAAAAATTCTATTTATTTTATTTTTTGGGACAATACACTTAAGTTCTCCCTTTTAAAATTCTTGCAAAAGTAAAATATATTTTTCTGAAACATTATTTGAACAAAGTTAAAGTTTAATCTGATTTGAAACAAGTGTTTCTGGCTGCCTCTACTAATTTGCTGAAAAAATGAGCATACCATGATGAAAAAAATGTCCCAAACTTGAAAAGTATAGGCAGTTTTAGCATCTTTTTTACAGTAAAAAAACAGATTTGGAAATTCTTTCAAAAATCAAATAATTGTTGGATTTTAATGAAACTTTCAAGTCTTATTCACAAATGGATGAAATTATCTTAGAAATTTGCTTTGAATCATAAAATAAAAAAAATGTAATAAAACTAAGACATTATTTAATTAGAAAAGCTTTTAATTGCTTTTATAAATAGTTTTCATGTCTTAAAAAAAAATTATTTTTTTTTTTTTTTGATAAATAATGAATTTTTACAAGAATTGTTTTCATTTCTTAAAATTTTAATTAGAATAATTTAAATTTTAAATCTTTAAAATTCTGCATTGATTTCACCCTTTTAGATGATATTGTTATTAACACATATTATTACTGAGTACTTAAAATAAAAGGTGCTCACATTATATTCTTTAATTATGTTTTTACAGATAAAGCCCCCATAGAACATTAAACATCAAGCTCTGAAAAAATGTTTAAAAAATTAATTTCTGCTATATTTTAAACTTAAAGTAAATAATATTTGTTTCAAATCAGATTGATTATACTTTAAAGCAGCTTATATTTCTCAATTTCAGAAAAATATATTTTATTTTTGAAAGATTTTTTTTTTTTCTTTTAATTAAAGAAGATTACATTGTGATAAATGCTTGCTAAAAATGGTGCTAAAATAAACAAATTTTAGCAAAAAACAAAACTCATTCTAGTCAATTTAAATTAGTTTTGAAATAGAGCAAAGTATTTTGGTTACTGTAAATATTAAATTTAATCATTTTGCTTGAAATTAAAACTAAAATAATTTTTTTTTTTTTTTTTTTTCCTCCATTTTCATTTTTAAAAATTCATTTTAATCTTAGGCATTGCAATTCTGTGGTGGTACCTACTTTTAGCATAAAACAGATATAATCACGGGGACTTCTTTTTATGACATCTTTCAAACATGAAAAAATAAACTGCATCTCGCTGGAAAATCATGCAACTGGTTCCCTTGGAATCTAGGAATAATGAAAGCTTTTCTCATTGGAAAAATGACTTCATTGTGTTAACATACCCTAACTTATCACTATGTGGGAATTCATAGCCACAATAATTCTCCATGCTAGGCACTCACTACCATGTATGTCTTTATTATCTTATAATCTAGCAGCACCTTCATAATTCTAGCTGAAATCACTTCCAAATGATGTAGGTTGCAGTTCAGTTCAATAATACTCATCTGCCACTCTTTTTCTAGTAAAAACCAGTCAAATGAATGATGAGAGCCTGTTCTGTCAAGCAGCATTTTATTTTGGATAGTATTTTTGTTGAATTCTCAGTAATACTTAACCAAAGTTGTTGATGCAGTTACAAATATACTGCTTATAATCTTGTACAGGAAGACACTCAAATGACACAAGATGAGAGAATAATGGTGTTAACACAATTTCCATCTTGACATTGCATCAAATACTAAAGTGCTGTTTTCTGCACTTAGAACTGCATTAACTGTTTTATATTGGACAAAAAAGTACCCTACCATTCAGTAAAGTATTATAGAACTTTTGTCTCCAGAACTTTGATCTAAATTTAAAGTTGTCAAAAAATCCTGTTTTTGTCAAGACTCATGATTGACAAAAGATAATTCTGTTTATAAACAAAACATTACTTGTTTTATACTGTTGGTCTAGGCAAGACCAATTTAAATTTGCTAAAAAATGATCAACTTAATTGATATTTTTTCTTTCTCAGATATTATTTTTCTGAAAATTTATAATCAATTTTCTAAATGAAATTGAATATTCAAATTACAATCCTGTTCTTGTTATGACTTTTTAATGAAAAGTTAATTTTTTTTTTTTTTTTTTTTTTTTTTTTTTGTTCGTTAAAAAAACAAAAAATTCCACAATAATTTTGATTTATTTTAATTTTCAGCACCCAATTATAAAATGCCTGTAGGAAGTGAAGGAAGTAAAAGCCATATAAGTTTCGCTGCAGCTCTCTCCACAGGCACCAAACATGACAAGGAAATTCTTGAAAAAACCAGGGGTTGTCGGAATGCCCAAGAGATCTCCATAGAAACTTTTTACAATGAAGGTAATTGGTCCAAAAGAAGAATTTTTCACTTAAGTATGAGACGGTCACTAATTAAATAAACTGAAGTGCCAAAAAATTATAAACAGCTACTTAATAAAGTCAAGTCCCCTACTCTTCACTTGAATAATGCCTACTACTTAATGTGACATGGAATGCATGATGTGCATTAATCAATGTATGGGTATATCTATCACAGCTGTTTAAAACCCTTGTTTTTGTCATATAGGAAAATCCAACATGGCGCGTAAACGAAATATGCGGCAAAAAATCTCATTCGTCAGTAACATTTTAAACACCTCATAGAATGTAAAGTTCTTAAAGAAAACCTATGTCAAAGTGTTTTCCTGAATCCTTGATGACTTGGCTGTCCGAAAATGATAATATCAAGATGAAATAATGGAAACTGACCGTGAAAATACAATTATGCGCAACAGGTTTTCGATCAATTAGTAAACTTCTGGACCTTTTTAGGGCGACCTTATAGGATCCAGACGGCTATTTTTTGCACATGGAATTATTCACTGGTAATTAATCTTCGATTTGGCTGTGGAAAATGTCACTTTCGGCGGTTAGCATTAAGAAATTATGCACAATTTTCTGAGAAAAATCCCTTTTTTAATGAAAAATATTCATTTTCGCTTCAAAATAACATCATTCAAAATTCATTCCTTTCTCTTTCATTTGGCATGAACATCATTGAATAAAAAGAAAGGCTAAATGGACCAAGCGATGGGAAATACAAAAGATATGGCGAAAAAAAAAAACAATGTTCTCTGCTAAGTGTTGTTGTCATCACCCGGGTCACGGGGTGTTAAAACAAAACAAAACTTATCAAGCCATTGTTCAAACATAGGTTATATGAAGCCCTAGTAATTGTGAACCCTTTTTATTCACCCTTTGCTTTTATCTGGGAGTGGTGGGTTTTATTACAACTTGTTCTAAGGTTTGCCGTCCGTTTATTGCTAGCTGGCTGGCTGGCTGGCTGGCTGGCCTTTGACCTAGACGTCAAAGTCAATTAAGTTTATTTTCCCTTATCACTATTTTTTTTAAAAAAAAAAAAAAACTTTTGGTTTCTGGTGGTTAGGAATTGCAGATAAATCTCTTGCCTTTTTACTAAAGATTTCCGTGGCCAGGTGTCAATTTTTTAACCCTTGGCAGTCATAATTGAAAATTAACAATGGATTTTGTCGCATTTTTTGAACCCCTAGGAATGTTGATTTCCTTCAAAACTCTCAATTTTATGCCTGAAATAGTTTGATTATGATCTAGGCTTTCTGATTTTAAAAAAAAAAAAAAAAAAAATGGTTAATTTCCCATTAATGGGGGAAATATTTGTTTAGAACAAGAAAAAAATGCAAAATTTTCACTATTTTTTTCACATTTTACCCACTGAAAAATTTTTGAGTCATTTACACCAGCTAATTTTACTTTTAAATGAAAGAATATATCTTTTGCTTTCAGAAAATACCTAGTTTCATGGGGTTCAGATCAAGTTTCCTTGATATTCGTTTAGGTGATGATAAAACAGTCATTTTTCAATATTTTACCCCTAAAAAAGTATGAAAACCCATATTTTGAGAGAAAATAAGCTGTGACAAAATGACTTTTGCTATTTTTGTGATAATTTTCACTTGGGAAAGAAAATTTTTACCATAGGAAACCTGAATTGACTTTATTTAAGTTCAGTGGGTCTGTAGGAAACCTCAAACAGCTGTGCTATTCAAGCATGTTCAACAGCTACTCATAACTGCATTGTTTTCTTGGGTATGGCTGCATGGAATTTATGGAGGTTTAAATTTCATACATTCTCAATGGGGTTTAAATCTGGCAAACACTAGGGTCAATGGAAGTCAGCCAAATATTCCTGGCACCAGTTTCATGTCACCACACAAACATTACCACCTACCTGAAAGAGTTGGAAACCTGACTCCTGATCAGGCAGTCAAATCTTAATGTTCTTGTAGCAATGAATGTAGTCACTTTTCCTTGTCAAATGAAATGCTCACAGGTTGCATGTATTATCTGCTGAAATAGCTTGTAAGTGGAAAAATTTGTGCAAGTTGTTAAAATACCAATGGTCAATACCAGCAGTCACCAAAACACTAACCTGTAAGAGCACACAGACACCAAAACTACTGACACCTACTTAGCACTCAGATATAGCAGCTTATACGCCCACTATTGGTCAGATCAAAATTTGCATGTCCTGCTGATTTCTATATAAACAAACTAGAGGCACAGTTTGTGGTTTTAACTTTGGCAGAAAATATGTGCATTGGCCATTTTGTTTCTTTTTTATTATTATTTATTTATTTATTTTAATTTTGTTACTGAAACTATTTATAGATAATTTGTTTCAATTCTGATCTAAATATCATGTAACTTAGAATTCACTTGATTTGGAAACTAAATTTTAATCTTTGCAATATACAAAATAGATCAATAAGTCTAAGACATTTGACAGTAAGCCTAACAAGTTTAACTGAATTTTGGTTTGGATTTTTCATTGTCTAATTGATCTAAGTGCATTGATGATGAAAGATTGTTGAAAAGTATTTGTGTAAATGGGTTTTTTTTTTTTTTTCATCATCATTAGTCTATAGATTTATTGATTAATTCATTGATACACAAATCTTTATATATATACATACATTAGATTGAAATAATTTCCTATTTATCGCTGTTGACTGTAAATATGTCATTTAAGATGGGTTCAAATGAAATTCTATCCTTCTGCAACATACTCATAAAAGAATTTGTCAATTTTCATCATACTGAACAATTTTATCCATAGTGAGGTACAAGAAAATTAGTTTTTGCTTATTTGAAGCAAAACTCTGAAAATAGAGAATCCTGTCTGTAAGTAACAATTTGATGAGATTTCAGTTCCTATTTCACTATTGGTTTCTATGGTTAAACTGGTTAAGATGTCATCCATGTAAGACAAGCTCTGCAAATATTAATTTCTACTTTATGCCAACCAGAAGGCATTTAACCTGATAAGAAAACAATATGTAGAGAACTAGTCAAAAATAATTTGTGAGATTGTAAAAATATTTTATCCATGATTTCATTTGTAGGTTCTTCTGAAAATACACAACCCAAGTCCTTGCAATCTGACTGTAGTGATAACAAGCAGTCAGAATGTGAAAATCCTGAGGAGGTTGCTTCAAAACGTCCCCAAGTATGTGAGACTGATTCTACCAGACTGCCAGTAAAATGGGTGCAAGCCGGCCCCAATAGTGACCAGCCTCAGCCACCTGGCACATGTCACTCTCGAGAAACCAGTGTGTCTACTAGAGATTCACGGGAATCTTCCTACAGTAGTGGAGATAGCATGTCCTATTCAACCACTGGCCGCAGTACACGTCCAAAAAATTGCAATTCTTCCAACATTCACTTCTTCTCTGGAAACCCAATGGTTGAAGTCACTAAGGGGATTTTACATGTATATAAAGATAAGTAAGTCTCTCTCTCTCTCTCTCTCACTTGTTTTTTTCCTGACTGAATTTCTAAATTTTAACCATTTTAAGTTAGCTCACAAATTAAATTTAAAAAGGAGTTATCTACACAAGTTAATCTGTCTATACCACAACTATTCTGCTAAGATTAGGCTTAAAGTACATAATAGACATTTTTATTCAAGAATTACTGGTTTTAGTCATTTCTATAGAAAACTAATGCAATAAAAATTAGTCAAAATTAACAAAATGTATTCTAAATACAAGTCTACTGTTAGTCATTGGGGAAACTAAATTCTCCCCCCCCCCACCACACACACTTTCAACTAATCATCTGAGTCAAAAATAGCATGCAAAGGCTTTTTTAGCATACAATTTTGATGAGATTTTAGTTCCTATTTCACTATTGGTTTCTATGGTCAAATTGGTTAAGATGTCATCCATGTAAGACAAGCTCTCCAAATATTAATTTCTACTTTATGCCAACCAGAAGGCATTTAACCTGGAAATTGTTATGCTATAGAATATCAGTCATCTGTCAATGAAGAATCACAGAATATATGGCTAGTTTAAAAACAAAACACTATTGCATAGAAACCATCATGCGTGTTTCTGATTCAATATCATATATTGTCTATGAATCAACTACCAGTCGTCAATAAGGAGAAGTGTTTTTTTTTTTTTTTACAATGTATTAAAATGATGCCATTACCTAAGAACTTAGCAGCTGGCTGTAGTTAGACCACAATATCTGAACAGGGAAAGGTTAATTGTAACTTGTAATTATTTCTATAACCAAGTCAGTTGTCCATCCTGAAAGTCATTTTTCTTTTAACTTGCCTACTTTGTTTTTGGGATGCTTCAACCAACCTTTCCTAAGACCTCCTCAGATCTAAGCTTAACTACATGGATGAGGAAGATTGACTGGCAGAATGATGGCCCCTAACAGCAGAGACTTGGAACAGGATTATAGATGTATAAATTTTGTTCCTCAACTGGAGATCTTACTATGATTGAGGAATTTTTATTTTAGTTCACTTTATGCAAGGCCTGATTGGCCACTCAAGGTAGAGATCTACTGAGGGAGATTGTTGTGAGGGAGGAGTAAATATTAATGAGGATATGTAGGATAGATATTAGTTGACCCTAGACTTGAAGAGGTTAAGATTGTAGTGGTCAGGAAAGCATCCTCTCTACAGGGATTTTATCTAGACCAGCAGCCTTTGTAGAGTCAAGCCTTTTGATAAGCCTGGATAATCTCCTGATCTGAGATAGATAAGATAGATATAAAGAATGTGCTCCGTGAAGTTGGGTGGGTGGGGGTAGAAGTCGTGTAAGGAATGGCCTTTTGTCATCTAATGTTGATTTGAGGCAAAGTTTATTGCCTTATCTGACAAGGGTTAGATGATCTCTGGGCCATTTTATAATGGAGGGCACTTACTGTCTGTTTTTATTTGAAGTGCATTTGCCATTCTTCAGAACTTTCAAGTTCCAAGATTTTTACTTTCTACTTTGGCTTTACATTTACCAGCACACTCTAGCAGTGATTGCACACAGTTCTGAATGAAGCAAGAGTTCTGTTTGTTTGATAGAAAGTAGTAGTGGTTATACTTAGGCCATGCTATTTGGCTTTTCTTGGTATTTTGTTTTTATTCTATGCCAGAGAGAATCTGCTTGGCAATGAGAGAGGCTCTTCTAGGGGGCTAGAGGTTCCCCCTTTCTCTTGCTTGCTTTTTTTTTTTTTTTTTTTTCTTGCTGGAAGGTGTAAGGGTAAGATCTGAATTTGTCCCAAGTCTTTGGCTTGGCATCAACCCTGACATAGATCAATGAATGATCTGAGATGTCCTGGGGGATGGGGGGTAACACCTCAGTGAAACATTTCTACTGTTTGTTTTTCTTTTGGTGCAAGGAAGTGAGGTAATGAGACAATAATACCACAAATGGTGTGTGTGTGTGTATATATATATATATATATATATATATATATATATATATATATATATATATAAATTAAACTACTTGAATTAATTACCATAAAACACAGCTGTAACTGTACACTTCAACATGAGATCAAAAGGCTTTACCGGAAACTGCTGCACAGTCCAGATCCTATTCACTAAATGTCAGTATAGCAGCCTTGATATTATGTACCTACTGATAGGATAGTCTCCTGAGGAGTTACTCTAAAGTTCAGATCTATCAGGTGAAGTGTTTATCTCCAGCACCCTTGATGTAGAGGCAACAAGTCTAGGATTGGGAAGGAATTACAGGTATGCCGCTCAAACTGAAACCATGATGTTTACTCAGGAATCTGGCAGCAGAACTTCTCCATGGGTCAGAAATATCTAAGCAGGGTGCAGGAATTGAGACAGGTTTGCTTGAATGTGAGGACTAAAAGATTCACTAAAGGAATAAAGGACCTCTTTTTTTTATGTGATTAAATCATTGACTCTCTCTCTCTCACATGCACCATTGATATCCAATTTACATTTCCTACTAAGAGAATCTAAATCTACTAAGAAGCAACCAAGAAAAAATAATGAAATAACAAAGAATATTTAATGATTTGTCCCTTCAGACTTTTACTATTCCCATTTAATGTTTTACCTTCTTTTTTCTTTTTTTCTTTCTTTCTTTCTAGCCAAATGGTTTCTCTAAAAGAAGAATTGCCACGGAGTGAACTGATTTGTATGCTAGGGGTGTCTGCAGCTTACACTATTCATGATTTGCTTCGATTCACCGCTCCAGTCGGGTGAGGATCAGTACTTTTTTCTTTTTTTTTTTTTTTTTATCAGGCATTTGAAGCGCGCACGTGTGTGTGAAGATATGATTTTAAGGTATGCTATATTGGGAGTGGGTGTAAAAGTGCTCAGTATCACAGATAGAACATATGTAAATATAAAAGTGGACTAAATATATATATATATATATATATATATATATATATATATATATATATATATGTGTGTGTGTGCCCCTGATTTTCCATTACAAATTTTCCTGGATTCTGGTTCCACTGAAAAAATTGCAATGCAATATGCTATAATTATTATTAAAACTGAAACCAAAAACATAATCCAAAATTTTATTGCATATAAAGAAATAGCAAATTTCTACAAATCTTTTTTTAAATGTTAAAATCCAATTACAAAAATAAACTGTATATAAAAATAAAAAAAAAATGTAACATGACTAGACAATAAAATAATAAAATGTTGCAGTGCCTAATTATCTTTGAGGTTAGAACTTTTAATCAAAGCTTCGTTCTTTAAGAACGCATTCAGAACTTATTGAAATTGTTTTTGTTTTTTCTGTAAAAGGATTTACATTGATTTATAATTATTGATTCATAATATAAAAATTACATTTAAAGTATCCTCGGCAAATAACTTGAATCTCAATAATAAATATCTGAATAAAGTCAAACATTTTGACTAAAATTTTACAAAACACTGATTAAACTATAATTACTGAATCTTTGTAACATAATATCAAAAAAACAAATTAGACATATTAATTCAAAATTTAAATAAAACAACTTATCCCAATTTGAAATACGGCTCAAGTTTAAAAGTTTTAATTTCTTGGGAAATATCTAATTTTCAAATCTCTTCTAAATCTCCATTGTAATACAACATTGTGAGTTGCTTGGTCTTCTCAGGGGTAAGACTTTCACATTGTTTATTGAGTTTATACTGAGAAAATGAAGGTCAGCATCTATGCTGGTAACAGGCATCCATATGACCTTATTGGCAATCTGTTGCAGAAGAGGAAATCTGCTCTTATTTGCATTCCAAAATGATGGGATATTAAAAGGACTTGGTAAATCATCTTGGTAATTCACATACATTTGGAATTCTTCAAGAAGATCAGTAGGACATTGCAAGTCCTTGATGGCTCAAAACTGTCTAAATCATGACCTATACAGGGTAGCTGTCCAGGATCAAACAGGTGAGCTACCCTGTAAGAGTTATGCACGGGGTGGGTATCCAGGTATTTATTCAGTTTCGAAAAAGATGTGCTGAAAAAATCTTGGAAATTTGAGAACTCTCCCTGTTTTCTAGTTCAGACATGACGATCAGTTTTTAGGCCAAATGTTGATTTTGATGTACCAGTATGCAAATACTATTTTACATCCTCTATCATGTTATATACAATACATGCAAGCAGAGACTTAGTTTCTTCTAAGTTTGTCAAAGCTGTTATTAAATGAGTGCAGTTCTCATTTATAAAATGCAGATTTAGGTGCAAATTATGGTAAGAGGCATGATGTAGTTGACCATGATCCACTAATTCTAGAATCGTATCTACTGCAAGGCCATGCCTCTTTTCTTGCTTAAAGAATCTTTCATAAAACTGTACAAAGGATGAGTGATATTTGGCTGCATTAAACCAAGAATTCCATCTGGTTGCCACTGGTACAGGGAGTAGTTTCACTTGTTCCTTAGGCAAGGAACTTTTAAGTCATTTTAAGTATCACTTTTTCTGACTAGGATTTTTAAACAATGCTGACTTCATGAAAGTAATGAGCTGAATAACATTATCAAATGCTAGCCAGTATGAAAATACTTCAACAAGATTTAAAATATGTACTAAGCACAAAACATGGCAACTGTTAACAAAGATATTTGGCAATACTTCCTTATGAGCTTTTTTACAGTAGGCTGCAGAATCTATGACAAAGGCAATATCCTCAAATGCCATATCCATATGAGCTACGGCTTGGATGCATAAGGAAATGATGCTCCACAAATGCAAGACTTTTTTGTCAAATGAGTTTTTGATTTTATGTTATCTTTTATTGTGTCAATACTAAAAATGTTGACACTATGGAGACAGAATTTGCAAAATAACATTTTCTTCTGCATAAAAGTCATCTGGAAATTGTTCTACTCTGGCTTTAGGACAAATTTTAGATACTGGGGTCATTTTTGTTATATATGGGGGAGAGAGCAGGTGCATTTAAGAAGCATCCAGTTTTATATTTTGGCACTTTGGGAAAATCTTTTGGGTGGGAGGTAACCACACACACACACACACACACACACAGAGTTCTGGTTTTAGAATTCTCAAACTTCAGTTTAAATTCAGCCCTTTCACCCCCTTCATTCCCTGCAGTATTTTCCACCTATGATGTATGGCAATTTAATGGGGGAAGTCTTGGTGATGTGCCATTAGTATTACATATTACATTAATGCTTCCAAGGAAGACATTAATGGAAACTTCTAAAAACAATCTTTTCTGTTTCTCTGATTTTATTTTTTTTATTTTTTTTTATTTTTTGTAATCCAGTGCTGGAGTTGAAAGCATGAGGATCATCAGGGATTCTACACCTAATCAATACATGGTTCTGATTAAATTCAAAACTCAGGTAAGAAAGTCAAAACAAAAGCAGTCCCCCCCCTCTCTCTCTCTTACATATACACATGCATGCTTATATTTCTACAAGTTATTTAGACTGGTATTTTCATCCTTTATATTTGTATTACTACATTTTTGACAGTTCATTTTTTTTATTTTTTTTTTTTTTTATTTGAATGGTTTTGTATCTGGCTATCTTATAGGACAATTCAGTTGTCAGACTGGACAAAAACCCAACTACACGTACTGAGCAGAGCATCAGAAGACTTTATTTTTACACCACATATGCAAAATATTTGCTTTTGTAATTCTTTTGTTGCTCACAATAGTTATCTGCATAGTCTCTTAGCCTGCTTAGATTTACCCTAGACTGACATTCTGTTGTTTTATATACAAGTCAAACATCATCTTTTAATATTAGTGATCCAAGTCATTGTATTTTTTTTTCCTTGAGGGATTTTTGATGCCATATCTCTCCAGGGTGTTGACAATCATCACTCTTTACAAATTCCCTTCCTTTATTATCTGTGCTTGCTAAAACTTGTTGAGAAGGATAACAAAGTGGTTACTTCAAATTTACATTAAGCCAGTCCTTATTTTAGACTGGCTACCACTCAGAGCTAAAGAATGTAGTCTACCCTGCTATTTTTATAGATGAAGGAAAAACCTTTTCTGATAATATGTAAGTGAACATGGCAGAGTAGGCCTGGATTTGAAATCAGTTTGCCAATTTTACATTCCATGCCAATAGCTGGATTAGATGTGCTACCTGCACATCCTAGAGTTGAAATTTGACAACCTTCATTTGTAAGTGCTTCTCTTCAATTAACTATGACCCAAATTAAGCTAAGCTTAGCAAATATTAAGCTGTTTGAAAAGTAATGACACCTTTTTGGAGACTGAATTCAGACACAGCAACATTTTGTTATAACAAAATTATAATCCGTATTATTGATGACTAAAGCTGACTGAACATAATTTTTTTTTTTTTTTTTTTTTTTTTTCTTGTCAAATCTTTTTGTTCAAAATGCCCAAGTCTAGCAACATCTAAACCAAATTCCTTGCCATGTAAAGTTTTGTCTGTTCTGAGCATTTAGGACAAGTCAAGAAAATGAGAGTTGCAGCAGCTCTTTATTATTGCCAACAACTGGAACAAGTTTAAAGAAAAAAGACATCAAAAGTTTTTTTATTTTTGTTTAATTGAATTTCAGGATGATAATGCAAGCCAACATTCAATGACATCAGCTCAAGTTCAGACCATTCAGGTTTAGATATTTTCACCATATCCACTAGCTTATCACCTTAAGGTTTCCATTTAATCAAATTATAGGAATCCTTTTTATTTACAAATATCTTTAAAAATAGGCTTATCACAATTCTTTTTGTCTATGCTGTGTTGTAGGGGAAAAAAAATAAATCTGCCTCATCAGTCATGTATCAAAAGATACATGGTCGCCTAAGCATGTATCACGCTTGGCACATAACTGACTGTGTTGTAGCAGTTCAAGCTGCTGCTGCTTGTCATTTTGACCTGGCACAAACACTGCATCATCAGCATCACACTTTGTGCTTATTTTCATACTTATATCTGATTGACTGAAATAATCCAGACTCTTGTTTTGACCACCTTAAATTTGACCCTACTAAAATGAAATGGTAGGAGTACGCTTTTAATTAAATGTAGTGGATCTTCAACAAACCAGTCATGCTTATGGGAGAGGAAACTTCTCAACCTCACTCTCATGACAATCACCAAAAGGATCTTTAATGTCTTCACTTACTTTCTAACATCATGATCCAGAATCCTAGATTACTTCAACAAAAGACAAAAGAATTAGTTTCATATTTAGCTTTTTGTTATTAATGATTACATTCTTGACAAATGTTTATACTGGAGCTTTGTAAACTTTTTGTCTTGGTGACCCACGCTTTAAAATTTGGACAAGTTTTAAGTGAACATTGAAGTCAACACAGGCAACAGGCTGTTTCATGCTAGACGCAATCGTCAGGCCGCCTGATGATTGCATCTAGCATGAAACACTGTCGCATCTGGGTATTGACTTCAATGTTCACTTTTATATTTATGTTTACATACACTCAATCTCTGATATTGAGCACTTTATCCCATAAATATAGCACACCTTAAAACTATATTTCTTATATATATTAAAGACAGAACAGGTTGTGACATGTCTGTTTAGAAAGTTGTGATCTAATTACATTGTCCCAACATGAATGGATGAGACATTTTGTGATGAATTTATGTGAATAAAGGTAAGATCAAAATAAAAGAATGGTCTACCAGATGGAATAGTTTTACAATGAATCAACAGAATTACAAAGCAAAGAAGTATGAAGAGCTCTTCTTTCAATATGTCATTCTCTTTTTTTTTTTTTTTTTTTTTAGAAACCTCACTTTCATTTGAACATTAACTATCTTTATTGCAGGAGATGGCAGATGAGTTTTATTCAGCATTTAATAACACTCACTTCAACTCTATTGAGTCTGATGTTTGTCATTTGGTGTATGTAGCCAAAATCGAGGCTATGAAATCATCTGAGGTGAGTCCAGATCACATTCTTTACTAACTCCAACAGGCCATCTATCATTGAACTTACTCTTAGAACTTTATTCAACCAAAATAGGCTCCTGAATGTCTCTGTACAAAAATCAATATACATTTGCCATTATTTGCTAATGTCTTTTCTATTCTGACTTAAAAAGCCTTCAGTATCTGTCTATATTTCTGAGGTGGGGTATTATGTACACTATTTACATTATTCGAACTGTTGTCGCCATATTTATTACAATGTTTTGGCCCTTCAGTATTTCCGAGATGAGGTATTATGTACATACACTATTTACATTATTCGGACTATTGTCCTCATCTTTGTTGCCATATTTATATTGTATTTATCACATTTCGGGCCATTGTATGCTCTGAACTTCTTCAGGCGGTTGGAATGTCGAATTGAACCTTTTATTTTGATTGCTGGGGTACCATGTCTAATGTATATCTCCTGTTAATTCTCCACTGCCTTAATCAGGTATTGAACTTTTGGGTTCTGTTACTGGATCTAACCAACACCTTTATCCACTGTGCCATGTGTCCTTTTAAGGAAATCTTTGTATGAATTTCTAGGACTTACCTTATGGGCTGTCTCCCCTTTATATTTCTTTCCACAGCTGCATGGGATGGTGTATACAGTCTTTAGTCATGTTCTCCTCTTTGAGGGTGTCTTACTCACCTTTCTAACAAACATCTTTTGGGAGAAATTTCCCATTATCATTTGGACTATGAAAACAAGGAAATGACTAAGGAAAATTATTTTTTGCTCATGGATTATGTCATTCATAAGCTATCTTTTATTGTTATGGAAACTACATGTTATATGAGTTTCATGTATTATTTATGAAGGAAATTCAACTTATACGTGTGTGTGTTTTTTTTTTTTTTTGTTTTTTTTTTTAATATAATTTCAGGGTGCTGGCTTGCCAATTCCAGGACTCACAGAGCTGCCCAACTGCCCAGTTTGTCTGGAGAGGATGGTAAGTCATCAGATGTTTTTGCTTCTAAAAAAGTTGATAAAAATAAACTTTTTGTGTATTTGCTTACCATTTGTACCTAGTTTAGTTATTATATACAACATGCTGAAAAGTTCTCAGCCTAATAAAGTAAGGATTTCAAATGACGGGGAGAAAAAAAAATTTACAAGTGTTTGAATTTTTTTTTTAATAATGTCAATGTCTTATATATATATATATATATATATATATATATACACACATGGTAATACTCCTTTGGAAAACCTCGGATGGCTCAACTTGTAATAGAATAAATCGGTGCCCGAGGAAGAAATTGGGAATAAAAAAAGAAAGAACCAAGAACATTAACACAATATGAAACCAATTGTCAATTTCTTAAGCTCCAAGTCCAAAGAAAAAAAACCCAAACGAGTAGAAAGATTAAATGTAGAGTGCTCAATACACTAAGTAGAGTGATAAACTAGAATAATCCTAGGCAAAGCTACCTAGGTTTCACCTAAACGGATCTTCAGGGTAAAGCTGGCTAAAAAGGAAAATAACTGAACAGTATTTATTGGTAAAAACCAAATAAAACCATAACCACGTGACCAAAAAAAAAAAAAAAAACACTCACAAAAAGGCTGTTACTTTATTGATAAGCCAATAACAAGACAAAAAAAAAACAAATCTCTATTCTAATAACCATCCTTTACTATGCCTACACCTAAGAATTTCCGATTTTTTGATTTAATAAATTTTTAGGTTACTTATGGGTAGCAATAGCTAGTTTTTCCTCCATACATAGTGAACAAAACTTATCACCTGCATTATATTTATAACATTTTTTAATATTTCCCATTTCAAAATGGGATCATTGTTATCTTGTTTAATTTTCCATATATATGTGGGTAGGGTAGTACTATGTTTATAGGTTTTGTGATTGAAACTACTGAGGTGGTTGTAATAACGTTTTTTGAAACTGCTCTGGGTGGACCCTATGTAAACTTCAGGGTTCTTATCAGTATTCAATTTATTACTATGTATTTTGACTTGGTAGACCACACACTCTTGTTGGCACCTGCCCTTGAGTGGGCAGGTGTCTTTATTTCTACAGTTACACTTAGTGGGGCTAATATGTGGTTTGTCTTTGATATTTTTTTTTTTTTTTTTTTTTTTTCATATTATACTTACTAATTAAGTTAGTCACGTTAGGCATACAACTGTAACTTGGTCTGACATAGTTTTTATTAAAAATTTTATGTAATACATTTATCGGTAGGAAGTTCTTTTTAAGTAATTTGAAAAACGTTTTACCTATTTTTGTTTTAACTGCTAAATTATATGGGGGGGGATTAAACCATAATAATTGTCTAGTTCTGTTTTCGTGTTTGCTTTGTATTTTAAGGGAATTATTCATGTTGATATGTTGATTTACTTCTATGCCCACTACTTTTTAAAGCTTTTTCAAAAATTTATTTATTTTTATTAAAGATGTTATTATCCAATGAGTTAATGGACAATCTATGGCTTATTCCTTTAGGTATTTGTTTTAAAATATGTTTAGGGTGATTAGAACCTATGTCAATATAACTTGGTTGTTGGTTATTTTTTCTATATAGTGAAACTGTACCATCACGTAGGTCTAGTGTAACGTCCAAGTAGTGAGTGACTTTCAAATTAATTTGTATATCCAGTTTGAATCAGAAATTCTTAAATAGCAAGCGTAACTTCTTACAGATTACTTTGTTTTTTTTCTAGGGGTACATTTATCTCTAATGATTAACCCATCATCTCTGTACAGACCATTGTTACTTGGATCAATATACTTATTTAAACTATTTAGTAGGAGGCACCCAACTAATTCACATACCTCTGCTCTGCCATATGTCCCCATTGGGTTGTCAAAATTATCGTTATCTCCTTTTTTTAATCCATAATACATTGTTATGGTATAAGAGTAACTGACGACAATGTTTAATGAGGTTGATCTTATAATTTTCCCGAAAAAGCCATTTAGGTGAAATGTAGGTAGGTTTGCCTGGTTCTTGTGTGTATATATATATATATATATATATATATATATATATATATATATATATATATATATATATATATATATATATATATAATAAAAATAATTTTTTTTTTCCTTTTTTAATAGGGATAATAGTTTTAGATTAATAGCAAATAATTTTTAGATTGAAAGTAAAACCATTTTTGTGGCAATTCTGTCATAGGACATGATGAGGTCAATTGAAAATCTGTAGTAGTATTAATATCTGATTCTCACAGAGGAAACAGCTAAGTGGATTGAAAAAAATGGTCTGCAATATTTTCTAGGTCTGTATTGATGATGCACTTGGAAGAGAAGACCTTGACCTTTTTATTTGCCTACCATCATGACATAATTTATCAAGTCATTCAGATACTTGTCACTACCTGTAAAGTTTTCTATATAAAGTCATAGATATTATTTACACCCACCCACACACATACTAAAGGATAATATCAATTTTGACCTGGGTACTGTATGTGCATGCTAGCGGTTAGCACATACTGATTAAATTTTCAAATTCCTTGCCCATCTTGTGATATAGTAAAAGCATTTGAGTGCACCATTTGTATCTGAGTTTTAGATGGTGATGGACATGATAGGAATATGCAGTGTATTATTAGTATAGTTTAAGTATTATTGGTATCTTTTTTTTTTTTTTTTTTTTTTTTTTTTTTAATCTGAGCGCATGTTGATCTGCATGGTAATGATTTACTATAACCCAGCAATATTACCTGTACATTTAATCTTGAGTAAATTGAAGTGCAGTTTAAATCAACAACTAGTAACTGCAGAAGTAATTGCTTTTTTTATTTCAGGATGAATCTGTGGAAGGAATCTTAACGATCCTTTGCAATCATGCTTTCCATGTGTCCTGCCTTGCACAGTGGGGCTATACAAGGTAATTATGTTTATTTTTTTTTTTTTTTCTTCTCTATTCCCATCACTTTCATGGCTGAGTTGAGTATAGTGTTTTTTTTTTTTTGTTTTTTGTTTTTTATTATTAGTACTTTGAATAAGTTCTTTCTGATTTTTCATGAAAAGTAATGTTTTATTTACAAAAATTAGTAAGAAACATGTCGCTGAAAGTATTGTCCATCACTAGTCACTACTTTTTCCAAACTTTCTGGCAGCATTTGAATTACCCCACAATCATCTATGCTTAGGGTTATTGTAGTGTAGGGTTATTTTCATTGCCAGTGATGATATGATGCAAAAAAATCTTTCCTTTTCTGCCGTTGAAACAGCTGTTCACACGTGACAAGACGCTGATGTCTCTCAGCTTCAACTCGTACAATACCCAATGTCCTTGCTTTTGAATCATTCCTAATGCTTTTAAACATTTCAAAAATATTGTGATCAACTCCTAATGATTCTGCAAGTTCAGGTTGCGCCTGACATGAGTCTTCATGAAGTAATGCCTCCAATTCTTCGTCTTCAAACTTTTTCAGTGCGCCAGAGTGTTCTTTATCTTCAACATCAAAATCATTATTTTTGAAGCATCTAAACCAATCTCTGCATGTTGTTTCCAACAGGGCATTGTCGCCATAAGTCTCAACAAGAATTCTGTGTGCTTCAACTGCAGATTTCTTTTGAATAAAGTAGTGCAGTAAAATTCCCCGCAAATACACTTTCTTTGGCACAAAATCCGACATGTTTAATGCTATGAAAAATAGTTGTTTACACTTTGGCAAAATGACACACACTGAATTTCAAGCTTGCTTATAGTACTTCCTTATAGATGCATTACCATCTGAAACTACACACACACAGTTCTGGGAGTGCCATCTTTTGGAAAATGGTGAGAACTTATTCAAGGTCCTAAACATAACTATTATAAACATAACTTAGTGTAGAGGTTTTCAGTGCTTAGCTGATGACTCATTAGCAAAAAAATTTTGATTTGAAAAGCTATAGACATAGTAATATTTCCCAAAATTGTTGGGTCAAATTTTAATTAAAATCTGTAATCAGCAACTTGGAAAAGATGTAAAAAGCATTTTAGAGAGAGATGTTTCTTATCCTCTTTTTCTTTCATTCTTTACATTTGTAGTTGTCCTGTTTGTCGGTATTGCCAAACTCCAGAGCAAATTGCTGATAATCGATGCTTAGAGTGTAACTCACAAGAGGTAAGGCATCTCTAAATTCTTTCTCTTTGTAGTTTCAGATAATCTTTGAGAGATGTCTGATATTAGCCTAGTGCATGTTGGATCACAAACTATGATATTTACAAATATAATAAAATATGATAAAATATGAGGGCTGTGTATATAAATTCTAAGTAAATCTTTGTGTGATTCAACCAATGAGAACTGAATTCTCAACCCAGCCCACTTTGACAATTGTCCAACATTGAATATATAATTTGTAGATCATTCATCTTATGTCAAATCAGTTTTAGTTAAGATTTAAATTAAGATTGTCTTAACTAGAAGACAGTAAATACTTAAGAGTTTTAAATTGATATGGAGATCCTATTATTGAATATATAGTCACTCTTAAAACAAAAAGATAAAATTCTCCCTTCTTCCAAAAGGATTCATAGAAGAAATTTGTCTTTAATTTATATTTATGATTTCTTTTTGTATAGAGTTTATGGATTTGCTTAATTTGTGGTCATGTTGGGTGTGGACGTTACGTTGGTAGGCATGCCTACAGGTAAGACTAACTTTTATTTCCCCTGCTCTTTATCTTTTTAATACTGATGTAATAAACAAGAATTATGTTCATTTAAAATGTCATATAGTGAAGAAAACGGCGACTTACCTCGTCAAACCAAGCGACAGCGTATTGCGTGTATCCTACGACAGAAAATGTGATGAAAATTACTTACCAAAAAAAAGGGGCACGTATTCCGCATGACATGCTGAAGACAGAATATTTAAATTAAAAAGCAAGTCTGTTGCAGGAGTCTCTATAAAAGTATTTTAATATGCAAAAATTGAGCGTACTCTCCCAGCTGTCAATGAATGGAAAAAATGCTCGGCTGATAAAAGAAGTTGGTGTTCTTGAATCTGGGAGGAAAATTTGGGTATTTTGGCTACCGCATTTGTCGGACTGTGAGTTATTTTTCTGACTGGTTGAGTGCATTGTGATTTGTGAGATAGTACCTGCGAATCAAGTTTTCGGTGTTTCTTTCTGTCCCCGATCTTAGAGTCTGAATTTAGTGATTTATTCTCTGCATTGTGGAAGTAATCTATGACAAATATTTCCTTTGCAATCCCAGATCGCTTACAAAACTAGTAATGTTTTTAGTCTCAGTCAAATTTCTTACTGCAGAGGACTGAAAATTCTGCTGCACTTAACATTGGCTCTTTTGATCTGTTATATGATTTGATGTTTTGGCTTGTTTTGGTTTTGCTTTTTCTTATTTTATTCATCTATGAAATTATATTTTAGCAAATTTCTCTCTACTACAATCATCACATTGCCTGACATCAAAATTCAATAGATATTGCTTTTCTCAACCAATATTTTGCTTTTTTTGGGGGGTCCTTCTCTTGGAAAAAAATATTTATCTTACTGAATTAATAATCTTCACAGCGGTTCTAATTAATATTAGAAGTTTTGATTTGTTTCATCACTACAGTTGCAGCTGATTTATCCAATCAGCCATTAATTTAGTTGTAAGAACTCGAAACTAAACAGTTTCAGATGAAACTTGTATTTGCAGCCCATGGAAGCACTATTTACCTGGGCAGTAAAATTCTTATAAGACCTCTTCACTCTTTCTGTTACTTTTTTTTTTTTTTTTTTTTTAAATTCTCTACTGTATTGTAGACCATCTGCTATTATGTATTTTGTTTTTTTAAGATTAAGAGACTTTTATCAAAACTGATAAAAGTAAAAATGTTTAATAAAGAAAATACTTGATTGCAAATTCATGTTCAGCATGTCAGAATAAGTAAATAACAACCATTTTTTTAAGCTCCTTATCTGTTTTACCTTTTTTCTTTCTTCTCACACTCTACTGTTTTTAGACATTTTCAGGAGACCCAGCATACATACGCCATGCAATTGGGGAACAACAAAGTATGGGATTATGCCGGGGACAATTATGTACATAGATTGGTGCAAAATAAAGCTGATGGTAAAATTGTTGAGGTGGATGAACGAGGTAATGCCATCCAGGATGAAAAGCTTGATGCCCTAACTTTAGAAGTAAGTGCTAATTATCACTTGTGTAGATTTGAGGCTTTATAACTGCATGTCAGTGTCTCTTCAAGAAGGGAAAATTCTTTGCTCCATTTTCAAAATGTCTTTTCCTTTTTTCCTTGATAATTCTATCACCTGAAACTTTGTTGTAATGATATTGTCAGCTTTTATCATTTTTTTTTAATTTTTCAAAATTATAATGCTTTTCTAAGAATTTAGATAATGTGAGACTTTAACAGATGTTGTATTTCAAAGCCCCTTTTGAACACTTTTAGACAATGACTTGTGTAGATTTGTATATAATGTTTTTTTTCTTACAATATTTTGACCCTGATACACTTGTAAAAGTAGTACAAATGGAATTGGCAAGATTAATTCAAATTTTCACAGAGACAGTTTATGTATAAATTCCCTATACACACACACACACACACACACACACACACACACACGCTCTATCATTTAAACAGCCCTGGGCACTCTAGCCTTGGTTGGCAATCAGTCTGAGAAAGGGTTTTTTTTTTTTAAAATTCAAAAATAAATTACTGCTGCATTTCTCAAGAACAATCATAGAAATGCCCAATTTACAGATATTAAAGTAAAGGAAGCTGTGGAGAGCCATGATTGTCTGAATTGACATGGATGTTTATTTTCTATATTCTTAAATATTTGAGAAGAATCTTTACAGAATAAAATCCTGTCTCGACAGTCTAATTAAAATCTTTTGGACACATTGATCAAACTCTGGAAGGAAGAATGCAAACAGTTAATAGTAGCTACCAAGTGACTATAAGATATTCACATGATAAAAATTCCTCCTCTTTAAAAATAATTAAAATAGGTTTGATGTGAGAGCTTCATACTAATTAAGTGATCATTAATAAATTTTATTTTAGGTGTGGGTGGCCTAAGAGTTAATACAGAAAATGGAATCTGTGTGCAGAGTTCAAATTTCAGCTAAGACACTTAGCACTAATGTTCCTTCAAATCTCTCTTCACTCCTGTCCCCAACTGTGCAAACTGTACTCCTTCTAAACAACCAGTTTGGGGGATGACAATTTTGAATTCAAAACCTCCAGTATTTTGCAGCCATATCAATTCATGGAAAAGGCTTCTTGGTTAAACCCTGAGAACAAATCCAGAGCTGGAGTCTCCATGGTAATCTGAAGCTTCCTTCAGCTTCATTCTTGCAACTCCTGCAATAACACTAATGCCAACTTATATGGTTTCAGCTAGAAGGGAATCTTGTTGCATGGACAACTGTCTGTCTTCTCTGTGACATTGTCCTAGCCTGCATACTGGAAGCAAAAATTTCCACATACAAATCCATGGTCTTGCAAAACTGATGGATGCTTCTGAACTTTTAAGATGATTTCTTTTACATTTCACTGAAATAACAACCTGATAAATTCAAATTTTTACATATGTTGTGCTATATGTGCTGATATTGACCATACATCAGTTTCCAAGAGATACACTCTTAAATATTAAGGCACTTTTCTCTAATTATGTGTAGGCTGATAAACAATTTGATATTTAACCTCTAGGGAGAAAGCGTCTTTGACACCGGGAAAGACTGAAAAATCGTGTTTATAGCTACTTATTAATCTTAACTAGTACAAAGCCATGTTAGTAGGGCATTCAGTGAGAGTTGAAGTCCTTTATATTTAGCAAATTGATCTTCTAGCCATTACACTGATAGTCATCTTGACTTATGTAAATTAAGCTTAGTCTTGTACAAACTTACAGTAATGAGGACCACTGAGTATCGAACTTACTATAGTAACAAAATCTTTTTATATTAACCATTTTGCCAGGTATCCATAAGAAAATATATAGATGAAAAGAGAATTAAATTTTTTTTTCCTCCTGTATGAAAAGTTATTATTCTAAAGCTGCTTATTTAATTATTATATCTCTGTTATATAATTAGTTTTAATTATCCTCTATAATAATAAATTTATTTTTCTTCTTGTTACCCAACAAAACCATGTTCTAGTACAATTTTTGTTAATACCAATAAAATACTTTTATTGGAAGAATAAAGTAATTTCAAGTCCAATTGAGCTACTGGTTTTCATGTAATTTTTAATTATAATTCACCCCCTCTCCCGCTAATATATCGAAGGGAGATAATTTTCGGTTTCTCTAAATATTATTTGTAGTTGTTTCCCTTAATAAGGAAATACTATCAATAAGCAAGAAGGAATTCTGTGTCGCTTTAGCGTGTGTCATACCGATCAGTGTATCCTACCACCACATTTGTATCCTACATTATCTAACGTAAGAGGAAAAGCAAAAATGGAAGGAGGGAGGCCATTTATTGTTGTATTATAAAATTTAAAATAAAAAAAATTATAAGAAATTTCACTGAAAAATCATAAAATTCTGAATGTCTATTAACATATCAAGAAAAAAATCTGGACAATGCCTTAATATTGTAGGACACAAATGTGGTGGCAGGATGCACACTAAAGCAGAAACTGATCTGTAGGACACACACGAAAGCAACACCAAGAATTCTAAGCTTAGTGATAATTAGCATTTACAAATAATCTTAAATTGTGTAAATTGGATGTGACCTGACATTTGAGTACAGTCTGTCAAAAACATTTAAACTTGTTACTACAATTGAATTCATTGTAAGTAAAATATTTTTAGTCAAAAATTGGAATTATTTCTGCTTCCAGTATACGTATTTACTTACCAGTCAACTTGAATCTCAGCGACTATATTTTGAAGAAAGAATTGCTCGAGTAGAAAAGGAGAC